ACCATGCAGGCATGCACTTCAGAAGTTGAGTCGAGTACACGATCAGTCGATCACCTCTGTGAATAATCAACGATATTCCAAAACAATTACACAAGGTAAAAAAAACTTTAGTTTATATAATCTAATTCGTTACACATTAAGTATTAAGAACCTTTTTTCCGGTTCGTTCTGAGCATTTAAATCCTCATGACTGGCCTTGATTACTAGAATACATTTTAAACAAATAATTTGTCATACAAATGTCACAGTGGACCTAATGTCAACGCTAAATAGACCTAATAAACAAAATTTGTCACCTTCAATGTCATAGCGAAGGACACGTAGAATTCAATATCATTTTATACAGTGAAAATCTACTTAATTTGTGTAAAACAAATAAATAAATAAAATAAAATAAAAATTAGTGATATTTTTGCTACAACTAAAAACAAGATACCTAAAGAACAATCTAAAATACTTTTTATTAGTAGTCATTTTATGACATTAAACCTTACCAAAATATACCCATTTCAAGTTTCGAACTCAACATTTCGATAAATAATTTGAAATTATTTTTTATTTTCACCGAGACTTGGAAAAAAAAAAAAAACTTTCACCAAGGATTTCAAAATGTTTCTTCACCATATTTTAAAACCACAAAACTCTCTTGCAACATCATTTGAGTCAGATTACGGGTTTATACATTTGAGCTATGGATAAAACAAAATAACAGTTTAAAATTTTGCAGAACATATAATAGGACATAAAGCTAGTTCAAAATAAGAATTTTTATTCTGAATTACGAGTGCCAAATGTAGGATTCAAACAATAAACTAATACAAGTTATAGGTGTAATGCACATTTGTATATGATGTGGGATTCAAACATTGAACTAATACAAGTTATAGGTCTTGCACACTTGTATATAATGCAAGTTTGATTACAAACACGGTGAAAAGTGTAGATCAAAGGGCCGGGGGCCAAAACCTCAATAGAAGTTTGGATTTGGAATGGAGTGGAAGAACATCATTAGAGAGGGAATGAAAATCGAAGAAATATGATAGTCAATTTGCTCGAAGACGACTCAAGTTGTTAGACAACCAAGTTGACTAGCAACCCACACTGCCTTAGCAAAGTTGGCAGCCCAAGTTGTCCATAACAACTCCTTACCAAGCTATTTATGGTAGCTCCAATCATCACGATCTCCCTAAATAATTCTTCTAGATAATTGTTTCAACAATAGAATCCGTAAAATTTGTTGTGCTTTTCCATTTTTCGAATAAACTAGCATATATACTCATATTACGTCCATTGCATGACTCTCTTGTGAAAACTAACAAACCGGATACTTTTTAGAATCGTACGTTTTTTGTGTCTAAAACTTGAAGTCATAGACTATCCTCAGTTGGGATTTCTTGGTAACCGAGGCATCGTATGAGAGAAATATCAACACATAAAATGAATATACATATTTCGTGAAGTAATCTAGTTCCTTATTACCAAAATAATTTTGTTTCCTACCCATATTTCTTACACTTTTGATATACCATAAAGCTGATGTGAAACGAATAAAGGGAACTCATAGGTGATCCCGGTCCTCGTTCAAGACGTTTTTTTTAAGAAAAACATAAAAATCGGTGTATTTAAAACAACAAAAAAAATCAAAAGTGCATTTAAAACAACAAAAAAATCAAAAAAAATCAAAAGTGGATGATTTTTTAATAAGTTAGCAAAATGCAGAGACTATTTATCTAACTTATGGCAAAGATGCAAGATAGCAAACTAAATAAATAAATAGGGGTGCATAATAGCAAAACTCATATAAGAACCAAAAGTGTCAAGCTCAGCAAAATTTAGGGACCATTTATTTTAGGGAACCACAAAGTGTATAATACTCATGGACCAAAACTGATAATGAGGCAAACATTTATGGTCAAAATGTCATAACCGTGTTGTAATTTAAATAGAAGGTGATCCGTGCTTTGTGGCGGTTAGAATAACTTTTTTTTTTTTTTGATGTTTACATAATTCATTGTTTCTTTGGTTTTTTTTCTGAGAATATCGAAGGCTAGGGATCAAAAGCGCTGACTCTAGGCAAAAACTTTTTCTGAGAATATGGGAGGTGTGGGAACCAAAAGTGTCAACTCTACAATGTAATATCACAAAAACTTGAGGGGTCACATTTGGTAAATGCAAAGGACCAAAGTGGAAAACTCTTGAAACCTTTGTGGCTAATCTTTAATATGTATAAAATGCAAGGGACCAAAAATGGCAAACATAAAATACAAAGGACCAAAAGTGGCAAATTCATAAAACTTTTGTGGCTAAATTATGAATATATATGAAATGCAAGGGACCAAAAAGTGGAAATCGGAAAAATTGGGGCAAAAAGTGGTAACAGATAAAACAATTTAGCCAAAGAAGTCAAAAAAACAATAATCTTGGCAAAAAATGGTTAGTATCTCAACAGCCCGAGAGACCTACTTTGGAGATAGTACTTCCCAGTTCCCAATGTCCAAATATCGAGTGTAATATAGCTATAAAAATACTTTGCCACAAAGAACATAACAAAAAAATAATCAGATAAAACAAAGTTTGTATGAGGAAGATAAGAGGATTCAATGGCAAAAAATGACAATCGGACAAATTGTATCTCATTAGCTAAATGCACAGCCCATGAAGCCATGAAGGCCGAACTGCAATTTTTATGATTATTTTTTGTATTGTTTCTTGGAAAGTAATTAAATTATTAAGCTAAATTTCTCTTTTTCTCTAATTTAATAGTTGCAATGTTTCATTTACAGTGTTAGTATGGAATTTTGATAAGTTATTTACTAAGGTGCATGTAGTGTGACCCTTTACGTCCAAGAAGCTTTTCAAACCTAATAATATTATGGGAAATAGACGTATATAGACATTTTTTGGTGGTAGATTACAAAAAATAGACAAGAAAAATCGATGTGACAAAAAAAATCTAAAGAACAATTCCGCGGAGCTACCTCCGAGGAATGAACTTTTACTCCAAGGAATGAACTTATGCTACGAGGAATCGATCCGTCAATTTTACGCATATGCCCCTCCTTAATTTACCATATTGCCATTTCACGGAGCCCTCAGATGTAGCTCTACACATATGCCACATCGATTCCTCGGAGTATAAGTTAATTTCGCGGAACCCTCAGATGTAGCTCTATTGAATCCATGTCTATATATAGGCCTAGAGGGGGCATTTCCCTAATATTACTTTAGGGTGAAGGCCTAGAGGGGGCCCATCTATCTCAAACCCTTCTAACTCATTTCTCGTATAGATGTTACATTAATTTTATTTTCCTTTCACTTCCATCCATCCAATGCATGACACAAATAATTAATCTCTCCAAACTCACTCCCAATGTACAAGTGTTAAAACATATGGTACAAATTGAGAATGCACCTAGAGAGAAATAGATGAGCAGGTTTAGGGAGATGGTGAACACTCCCATCCTTCATCGCGCCAACTCACAATGCAAATAGTCGTGATCTTAAGGCCGGTGGATACACCCTAAACCACGCACTAATGTGGCGTCGCAGTGTGCAGTGCACACAACACCGACCTCCCAATTGCCATTGTGGTATGGCCACTATACCACAAGCTTTTACCGCACCTCCTTTGTTCCTTTTTGTGACCAATTAAGAATAAATAAATAAATAAAGTAGATTTAAGATGGGATATGGCACCCATCAGTTTTGTAGAGTGAGAAAAATAATAATTATATGACATGCAACAATATTGTAAGCGTAGTATCACATCCTATGGCCTAAAGGTACCATATCTATTGCACAATACATCCACACATATAGCTAAAAACCACTTTTTGAAAATTTGGTCTTTAAAATTGGTTGGACATCCCTTGAAAGTAGTTTTAATACACATTTACTATTTTATTTAAATGTTTAAAAAACTAGGCTGTTAAATTCAATGATACATTACTTTTCAAAGTATATTGTTATTTCCAAACAATCAATAGACAAGGTTGTTCAAGTTATGAGGCGGTTGTTGATGGTTTTAAACAAAAGCAGCTTGCCTTCATCAGTCATCACTTTTAGGACCTAGACCTCAGTTGTGCTGAGGGCTTCCTGCTCTTTGCTTTACCAGTAATTTGATAGATGTTCTTCATTAGTATGATTTGCAAATCTATCCCAAAATCCAAATATACAAAATTTACTATAGAACTCGGTTGTGTGAAAACACAACAATGAAAACAAAAATATCTGAATGTGAGACCTAATTCTTTCATCCCAAAGGACAAGAATAAACAAATAAAAAAAACGTTTAGTGGTTACATGTACACGTTTTCTTATTTATATAACATATATATATATATATATATATATATATATATATATATATATATATATATATATATATATATAATAAATAATAATAATAAATATATAATAACACAATGGCTATCAAGATCCCTCCCCCCATCGCACAAGTCTTCACCTTATTGGCCCATTTGGCACATAGTATCTTATCTCTTTTGTCATTTTCCACAAACGTGTCACTCCTTTCTTCACCAATTTTTTTTTTTGCTTCCTTTCCTTTTGGTCAATACAATTAAAGGCGATGGGACCCACATCCACCATCACTCAATTTTATTACCTACCAAGTCCCACTAGTAGTATTAACACCAATACCTCCACGCTATACTCACTTGTACTTTCAAGGCTTCAATTACCATCAAACTAAATATTTTCCCATCTGTTGGAACAACTAGAAGTCTATAACCAACTAAGGTTTACACACGTATGGCGACAGTGACACTACACAAAATAGAACTTTGGCACAAATATAACATGTACGTGTGTAGACTGTAGAGGTACAAGGTACAAGTCATCAATGCATTGGGAATAGATGGAGAAGAGAAAGAGACAAAGATGGTAAGATCCATGTCAATTCCAACGCGTACACCTGTCCTTCCTTCGAAATCCCATAAAAGAAGGGACTATATATAATAAATACTCACTACTCCTTTACACCATAATACTCCCAGCTAAGCTAAGAGTTGTTAAAGAGAGAGTCAGAGAGTCGAAAGAAAGAATGTCAGAAGGCAGGAAGAGCAAGATCGAAAGTCGGAAAAGATTTACAGATAAACAAATAAGCTTCTTGGAGTACATGTTCGAGACAGAGTCACGACCGGAGTTAAGGATGAAACACCAGTTAGCTAACAAACTCGGGTTACATCCTCGACAGGTGGCGATATGGTTCCAGAACAAAAGAGCGCGATCAAAATCAAGGCAGATTGAGCAAGAGTACAACACCTTGAAGCTCAATTATGAGTCGCTGGCTTCTAAGTCTGAATCTCTCAAGAAAGAGAATCAGGCACTGCTTAATCAGGTATATTACCTACCTCAAAACCACCCAACCCAACCCAAATAGTTTCGCTCTTTCAGACGTAATTAATTTTGTAAAGATTAATTAATGAATGATTTAGTTGGAGATGCTGAGAAATGCAGCGGAGAGGAATGGAAACAGCAGCAGTGGCAGTGAAGAATCTGAAGATAGGATAACCAACGAACAAACGGAAAACCATGAAAAAAGAAGAAATTAGGGTTCCATTTTTGTACCTTGGAGAAGAAAGTAAATTTGCAGATATTGAAGAATGGGAAGAAGGTGGTTGCAGCTTGGGGATGGATCTTCAGAGGTGGTTGGAATTCTAAAGAGATGAGATGATAGGAGTAGAGTGTCGCTTTTGTTTCTGGAGTAAACAACATAGAAGTTGGCATACAGTTGTATATAAACAAAAAAAAAAAACCAGATAAATGAAAGCATCAACGTTGATGTTTACCTGTTTATATATATATATATATATATATATATATATAGAGAGAGAGAGAGAGAGAGAGTTTAAAAGAAAGGTTTTTAACAATAAGTATATAAGACTGGATTACATCTCAGGTTTGAGCTTGACATCTCCATTTGGTAACATGGTTTGTGCTTGTGCAAGGCGCATTGATTCCTGCATCATATTTATATGAAACTACAAGTAAGATTTAAGAAATGGAAAGGTAGTAAACATGAGTTAGGGTTTTGGATATTAGAGAACTAACAGCTGCAGAAGATGCACGGATTTCTCTATAATCTTCAACTTCATCAGGAAATGCTTGTTCAAGTTCCTCCAGAAGATGCTTCCTCAACCCCTGTAGTAATTAGTAAATACTACATATTAGTACATAATATCATATATATATATATATATATATATATATATATGCAGAGCAGAATAGCAGATTGATTATCCATGTATCAACTACAAACATATATATACATCTCTAATCTAAATTCTAAATACTTGCCCAAATACCTCATTTACAATAAAACACATATACTTTCTCAGTCTTGCAACAATTTGAAACTTGCATTATTTCTTCATTCTAACATTTAAGAAGGAAGCATATTTCTTCATTCTAACATTTATTTTATTTTTCGTATCCATTATATCGCGATTTGGCATTTTGGCTACTACTACACCACTATGGTTATGGACTATTGATTGCTATGTGGCTACTACAGTTAGATAGATTATTATTTGGTTTTTTCATTTTCTTTTGTAATTTACTATGTTGATTCTGTGAATCAGATGGTTAAAATGTTAGTGGTTAAGGGTAAATAGACTATGTTGAGTTTCTTATACATAGATGATATGTGTTCCACTACAAGTTGCCATTTTTATTTACACTACAACTTAATAGATGATTCAAACATATATGCTAATTACCAAGATGTCGCATCTGCTAATAAGGTAAATAAAAATTTGTCCTGTTTTGTTTTGTTTTTCTTTTTCGGTTTGATTCCAAGTTTTTTAGGTTGTAACTAATGACTAATGAGCAGGAGGGTAGTACAGCAATAATAAATAAGCAGGAAGAATTGCTTTATGCATTTATAAGAATACAACTAAATAAAAGAAACATAACATTTAGAACAGAGCATTCAGCGAATTCCTCTAACAGACCACCATTTCTTAGTGTTCAAACACCCACAATGTATATAAGAAACTTGCTTCAAAAAAGAATCATATGCTTAGGCCACATGGAAGTCACACTCTACTCATTTGAGTCAGCTTGCAGCTTTAACTAGACTAAATACGTTAAAGAAAGTGTATTTAAGGGAACTCCTAGATGCTACAAAAATTAATCATTGCTGATTGAACAATCACAATAGAGACCTTCAAAGAAGAGAAGAAGGTATGCCCTAAACCCTAAACCCTAAAGTGGTTTCAAAATCCAGGATCACAGATACAAAGAGCAAACATGATACACCTTAAACTGCCTAAAAGTTGCAAAAAGTATGCTGGACAACTAACTCGAAAGACTTTCACAAAAAAATATTTTACAGAACGACCATACAAACCTTGAAAGCATCAGTTTTTCCTTTGGTGATCTGGTTTTTAGCAATGCAGCTGTTTAAAACGTCCCTCGTGAATTCATCAGGATTCTTCCCATCATCAATCAAACTATAAAGTATAAACTCATTCAATCACACCAGAAAATTACAATTTAAAACATTATAAAGAGTTTTCAATAGAAAAGCTATCGACTATCGTATTCTTACTTTAAGACCTCCATCGGAACCTGTATGTTACACTTCTCCGACAATTTCGCCATATTATCCATCTCCATAACAAGTGTGTTTCTGCATATAGAGAAAATAAAATTTTCCAGATTCCATAAGTAAAAGCAGATGATTTGATTATGAATTTATTTGACATAGCGAGTCAGTATCGCAATCTTGAAACAGGCTCGTGTTAAGAAAATACATCAAATTGATAAATACACAGGTAAAGAACTTACAGGCGTTGGAGAAGCGGGAGTTGGGAGGAAACGTTGAAGGAAGAGACAGTGAGGTAGAGCTGATGGATGGTTCCTAGGGTTTTCTGAATTGAATTGATGACTTGGTTTAGGTTTTGCTTGGGATCGTCGGATGACGAAGTAGTTGCCGTAACTGTTGACTCAGCAGGTGAAGCATCGTTGTTTTGGGGGTTAAGCGTACCATTACCGCCGGAGGCTGCTGCTCCGGTGGTCTGCGAGGATTCCATCCCTGTTCCGGTTTCAATACAAATCGAGAGGTTTCTTGAGGGTCTTGGGTCGCCGGTTTCAATACAAAGGCCGTAACCAACCGTCCGTTTTGGTTTTAAACAGGTCCTTATGCACTTAATTTCCTTTTATTATATATATATATATATATATATATATATATATATATATATATATATATATATATATATATATAGGGTTGAGATCGGTTGAGAAGTCAAAGTTTTCCGAGAACCCGAGAACTAAAAGTGGAGCGTTGGATCAAAAATAATTCGTTAAGGACATGATCGTCATCTTATCAATCTCATTTAATGTTTAAATTTTTTGTGTTATTTAATATATTAATATAAATGTCTAAAAATTAACAAAATAACTCAAAATTTCGGATTTATTTAAAAAAAAATCGATCTTTTTAAAAAATGGAGAATTTTAAATTTTTTTCAAAAAACATGAATTTTTCAAAAAAAATGAAAAAAAAATATTTTTTAAAAAACTGTATCTTTTTTTCAAAAAAACTGCATTTTTTCTAGAAAAAAAAATTGTATTTTTTTTTTCAAAAAAACTGCATTTTTTTTCAAAAAAACTGCATCTTTTTTCAGAAAAACTGCATTTTTTTCAAAAAAAAAATGCAATTTTTATAAAAAAGTGCGATTTTTTTCAAAACTGCATTTTTTTAACAAAAAAATCAACGTTTTAGGTGCATATATGCATATTTTTTCAAATGAATATATGCATATTTCTTATACTATAATATTCGTAAGTAAATTATAAAAAATCTCATTTTTATTAATCAATCTATAAACATAATACAAGTATTTTATTCGATACAAAAAAAATATAAAAAAACTACAAAGAATCATAGTGTTATCATTTCTTTATACCAAGATTTCCATATTTTCTTCAATTTATCACTTTTCACCTCTTCAATATTTTCAACAAATTCTTCAAAACCTACAAGAAAATTTAAAAAAAAATTGATTAATGCAAGATTACTCAGAAAAATACACAAGTATATATAATGTAAGATTCACATGTGATTATATCATGTAAGATTCAAATGTGATTATATAATGTGATATTCACATGTGATTGTATCTTTTAAGATTTAAATGTGAAATTCACAAGAAAATTAAAAAAAAATAATTAACAAAGACCACTCACACAAAATGCATGTGTGCATATTGACGTAATTCATATGTGATTCACTAGTGATTTACATGTCAATCACATGTAATTCATATGATATTCACTTGTGATTTACATGTGAATCACATGTAATTGATATGTGATTCACTTGTGATTTACATGTGAATTACATGTGATTAATATGTGAATGACATGTAATTTATATGTGAATCATATATGAATTACATGTGATTTACATGTGAATCACGTGTAATTCATATGTCAATTAGATATTATATACATGTAATTCATATGTGATTCACTAGTGATTTACATGTGAATCATATGTAATTCATATGTGATTAACTTGTGATTTACATGTGAATCACAAGTGAATCATATGTGAATTACATGTAATTCATATGTGAATTACATGTAATTCATATGTGAATCACTTGTGATTTACATGTGAATCACACATAATTCATATGTGAATCACATGTGATTTACATGTGAATCACATGTAATTCTTATGTGATTTACATGTGAATCACATGTAATTCATAGTTACATGTAAATCACATGTAATTCATAATTACATGTGAATGACATGTAATTCATATGTGATTTACTTGTGATTTACATGTGAATCACATGTAATTCACATATGAATTACATGTGATTTACTTATAACAGTCACACCATGATTCAGAAAATACAAAAATTCAAGAAAATTCGAACATGAACCATTATCAATTATGATTGACATGATAGAAGAGTTATTAGATGACACTTTGAATCATATCCACATGGAGATCCTTGTTCTTCTTCCGAGTCTTGTTCTTCCATTTTTACAGTTGAGTTCTCATGCATATATCATTATATATTGCACTGCTTCCTATGAATGCAATCTGTAAAATATGCTTCCTTCCATGCATCTCCAAAGGCCTGTTATGTAACATACATGAAAATAAAAAGAATCCCCTTAATGACTCCATCAATACACTCAAGAAAGACTATATATGTATATTCACCTTTGTATCATCAAAAACTCCATCTCCAACAGCACCAAAGCTATGAACATTCATAAGAACCCTGACACCACGTTCATCACCTGACCATGATGGCAAGTCAGAATCATCTTCTATTTTTAAACTTTTATCCTCAAGCATGTCCAAGGAGTCAAAAAAATTGTTTTCTGCATACTCACAAACCAACAATAGAGACAGAGAAAGAAAAAAATAAATACAAGAGTGCTCATGATTTTGCTGTTGTTTGTTTAGATTAAATCATGTTTTGAGTCACCCAATAAGCCTAAAAACAATATTTCAAAGTCCTTCTATGAGAATTGGTGGTGGAAGAAATCCAAGCTCCTATTTGTGCAACCTACTTTGTTTTCCACCAAATATTTTGTACCTTGATGAGTGGGTTGTGAGTGGGATTAATATTTTTATTGTTTGACATGCCACGTCTGTTAAGAGGCTAATTTTTACCCTTATGGGTGTTCTTAGTGATGGCTTAATGTGTTAAGTTTTCAAAAAGCCTTTGAAATCCAAAGCTGGAAAATTCAGCAAAAATTACAAATTTGTCTCTGTATTGGAAAAATTATAGAAAAATCACTAGGAATCGAATTAATGATCCGTAAACTTTCAAAGTTTCCATTTTGAATCTAGTTTATCCATTAATTTTTTCATAACCTGTTGTTGCTTATAACTTAGGTGAAAATCACATTTTTCACCAGCTGGTCAGAATTTAGCTGCATTGATAGACAGTTTTGTAAAAATCATATAAAATTGTAGAAAAACGTTTGGACCTTCAAAAGTACATTATAAAAAGATAAAAGTCTGAACTTCTGTAATATGAAATAAAAACGGAAGTTATACAGGTTTAAAGTGTGCTAAAATAGATTTAAACAGTGGCTATTTTGGGTCCAAAACTGAGAATTTTAATTGTTAGTTGATTTAGGTGTTTTGGCTCATGATTTATATGTTGTGAATACTGTTTTTTGATGTATAGAAATCAAATGAAGACGTGATATTTTAATTTATATGTATTAATTAATTAATACATATAAATCAAATGGTTGAACCAATAAAGCCAATTGCATGTCAGATGTGTTTAAAAGATCTGAAGTGTAAGGAATCTAAACAAACAACAACAAAATCAATCTTACATTAAAACATTTCACAAGAAAAGTAGATGAAAATGAAAGACATTAAGACAACATGTATCACCTGATTAATGGTGCACCGCATGTACCTAGGGCTGCAATTTCCAGCATCCCTTACAATAAAATCACTTGTAGCAGGCTTCAATATCAGCAGTCAACAGTCTTTCTTTCATGCACATTTACATGACTTCCACCACCCTTAACCTACTGTTCACATCCCCATATAAAATCCCATAACTACCCCTATGTTTTCTTGGGTTTTTCTTTTCAGTTCATCTCTCGAGTCTGATTCAAGTGTACCTTTTTGACTGTATATAACAGGTGGGGTGAGGTGAGGTGAGGTGGGGTGGGATGGGGTGGGGCTATATCTTATGAAAGATTCAAAGATGGGTTTTGATAGGAGGTCTACATTCATATCCATGGGTTTGGGTGGTAGTACTAATCATGTTGATGTGTTGTTAACATCTTCCTACCAACTAATACCAAGTACAAGAATAGCACAGACCACAACACTCAGGTATGTGTCAAGATTAGATTCAGAGCACAATCTCAATGACCACGAACAACTTTTGAAGATATGCTTCAAATTAATAAGCACTATATGTGGTCATCAAAGAAACCGTTCACTGTTAGCCTGTTACACTCTCACACTTCACATCAACATATGCGGTTATGACAACTTTAGCTAATTCACTAATAATTGGACGTCCAGGGTTGTGACTGGCTGTCAATATAAATGCTCCATTTGCTTTAAAACCCTAGAAAATTAAATATATAAAGGTTATTAATTATTGATTTAGTAAGTTTATTCTATTAAATATCTTGAAACCAGATAAACTTACATCAACACCAACTCTTTCACGTACAACTGCTGATACAGCAGGTGTTGACAAAAGACCATTTTGACCAACCCAGATACGTCTTGCACCATTTGCAGCTGTCATTTTAATTATTATCTGCATTTTTTATATATAAAATATCAGGCATTGAATCTTGATAAGTCAACAGAAAAGGTTGATGTAAGCACCTGGATAGCATCCTTTGAGTAGTACCTTCCATCACCTGATACAACAAGTGTAGAACCTGCGCGAAAGAAAAATGCATCATCAATACATTTGAAATGTAAGGGTAAAATGGTCATTTAGTCCCGTTCAGATGGTTTATTGGGTCTAGAAAAAAAGACTTTATGTATATAGTACTTTATGCAGACAGACATTTCCCATTCACAACTTAATGAGGAAAAAAGAAAGAAAGATCTCCAAAGAGTATTGCTGACTCTGGTTACTAATAAACTAGAAGTGGCATGGTCTCTACCTTTAATTTTTTCAGTAGAAAAGGCGTTGAATGTTGATTGAACAAAATTGTGCAAGTAATACGGTTCCTGAAAAAAATCAAGTTCAATCACATCAGTTTGCTAGCTAAGATGAAAGCAACCAAAACGTGTATCAACATATTCTATCAAGAGAACATGGATATTGGTAAGTTACAGGTAAAAATAACAAAGGAGCATGTCAAATGAATGACTTTTTGTCCCTAAGAATGACTTTTTTCATTTGGGTAAGTTGCTAACTAGAGGTCTGGGGAAGGAATAGTAGATCTTTGCATCCAATATATTGTGTTTTTAAGCTATGCAACAATTCCTTGTCTTTTGTTCTGAACTTGAATTAAACATGAATTCATAGATTTCTCATAGCCATTTAGTGTTGACTGCTGACTGCTGAACTATACCAGCTTAGTTTCAAGTAAGATGTATTTTGTTTTTTATAAAAATAATAAAAAAAGGACAAATTTAGCTTAATTGGGCTCAGTATCCAAGTGTACATGGTTGAATGCCTATTTTCCTACCATATTTGATCTTTGATCAATTAATAACTCTTATCATTTTTGCCTCTATTATGTAAACCTGAAGAGAAATATTACCTCAAACAGGCGATCTAAGAAGAAGTGGGATAAAGAACTAGCTGATATAAGCAAGAAACAATGGTTCAAGGTAAGGGGGATCTGCACCAAAGCATCAGAAATAGTGAAAATATTGTAAGAGCTTGTTGAATTTTAGAGCACAAAAACATTTGGAACTAGACTGCTGTAATATATGATGAAAACAGTAATCGATAAAGTGAAAACGAGAATGCAAGTTATAGCAAATGTCACTTGATGTATTCCAATTTTCGCAAAAGGATGATCTCCATGTGATGTCACTTCTTCTGATCTCAAAAGAACCCAAAACCCTCTGAGGCATTTCATCGAACAGGTGGTGAGCGGAACAAGGAGATCTCCTCTCTCGCGAAAATCAGTGGTTTTGATTCAAAGAGTATTCTATGTCAAACAACATTGGAAGAATAGAATTAAACTGAAGTAAATCAGATTAGCAAAATTTCAATGTAACAGATCGAGGTCATGAAAACAAATTCAATCATGAAGTGATTGATGATACTTACTTGATAATCGATACATAGGTGGGAACTGTGGAGGTTGGAGTCATATGTGACAATGTTTGTGTAGTTTGTGGCGGTCGGAGGTGCGATTGGAAAAGAAGGCATTGGTGGTATAAGATCCTCGCCAGATAGAGGTGATCCACAAATGCGATTCGACGGTTTATTGTTGCAATCGAACATAAAAATGAATGACGTAAATCTCTTGGATCGTGGATTTGACGTCGTTGATATGACAGACGAGGATCGTGGATTGGTAGTCGTTGTTGTTTGTCAGAACAGGTAGAGATGGAGGATGGAAGGAGGAGTAAGGCGGTAGATGGAGTGGATCGTCGATCCTTAGTCTGTGCGGTATCCTTGGCGGAAATCGGTGGCGGAAAGATCTCATGGGGAGATATTCATCGGAAGGAGGCGGATGATGGAGTCGTGAAGAACCTGAGAGATGAGAGAGAAAGTGAGAAACACATGTTTGTGTGTGTGGGTTTTTTTTAATTTGTTAAATTGATTATTATGATTGATATTTTTAATTCCTAATTTGCCCTTGTAAATATTAATAAAATGTCTAAGATACCATCGAAACAAGTGATAATTACAATTACGCCATGATCAATCTAAGCCATTCAAGATTTTGATCTAACACTCCACCTTTAGTTCTCCGGTATCCGAGGACTATTTCACCCCTACTCCTACTAACATGTATCACAGAGCATCCTAGCACACAAACATAACAGATAATGGCATACCAGATAATTATCACAAAGACAATCATCTAACAAACAACTCCTACTAGTGGGTCGGCATTGTAGCCTTAGACCCACTTCTACTTGAAGGTAACTCACCTCAATGTCGTGTAGTAACTGAACTATCCTCGGTGTCGGGATCAATTCTCCTCAACCTCCTATACATATTAGTCTCCTTTAGTTACTCCTTCATATTCATATCCCTTTAAGGGTCAATCTTGGATAAAGGTCAAAGTCAAAGTCAAAGCCCTGGTCAAAGTCAACATCCTGGTTGAATCAACTCGCCGAGTTGATCCATCAACTCGTCGAGTTCCATAATTCAGAGAAACTCGAATTCGCGATCTGAATCGTCAAGTTACCCTCTAACTCGTCGAGTTTCTCCTTATGACAGAATCGGGACTTTCTATTTGAACTCGTCGAGTCCTTCCTTGGACTCGTCGATTTCTCCTTCATACAGTTAGGACATTTGCTTACTGACTCGGCGAGTTCATCCTTGGACTCATCGAGTTATTGACCTTTAATTCCAAGACACATCTAACTGGCTGAGTTATCTTCAAGACTCAACAAGTTTGCTAAGTAACAGAGAAGGTTGGGGAACCAAGACCCGACTCGCCGAGTCCTAAGAACGACTCATCGAGTCCCCCATGATCCCAAAACAATACAGTCGATTTCATTTGGGCTTAATGCATCCAAAACATAGATCTGGCCTCCTAGGGTCGATATAACACGTAAAGTTACAAACTTTACGTTCATGCATGGGATATTTAGCTCAAAAAGCCCTAAAAAGTGGTTCCTAGGATGCATGGGACTCCCATGGCCATAAAGTTGGCACCTTTATGCCATGGAGTCCCTCAAAGGCTCTGGATCTGAAGTCAATACCCCAAAACATGCTTGCACCCATGAATGGTTCCAAAATGGCTCCTTAAAGCCCTAAACTACTCCAAGAAGAGATCTAATAGATGAATGGTCAAGGTATAAACTTTATACCTCAAATGGGCTGGAAATGGAGCACAAACACTGGATCTACTTGTTTCCTCTTGAACTTCCAAGCTTCTTCTTCCTTCTCAAGCTTCAAAACCACCAACAATACACAAAAATGGCTCAAGAACACTCAAAATGGGTTAGGGTTTCGAGTTAAGGTTTTATGGACTAAGGGAGGCGATGAGGGAGGCCAGAGTGGGGGTGTTAAGGTGTTGAAATAGGGTGCAAACCCTGAAAATTAGGGTTTCACTCTGGCAGGCCTGCTTGTCGAGTCGAGGCTCCCCGACTCGTCGAGTAGACTTCAAGTCCCGCTTCCACATATCCAATTCCTAATCGACGAGTTTGGGGCCTCCAACTCGTCGAGTCCCTTTGTAAAAATGCATAATTCTTATTTAAAATACGTACCAGGAACCGGGCGTTACATATTTATACTCACGATCATCATTTTATATTTTTCAAATTTTCTCATCCTTAATATTAGTAATATATATCAAATAAAATAAAATTAAATTGTTGAATAATGACATTTATCACGATTTTAATTGATAAACATATTTGTAGGCATAAAAAATAGAAGAAAATTTAATTTCTCTTTTAAGTATATACAAATCATACTTATACAATTGGTATTATGGTTTATCAAAATTAGTTGGTTGATAACGACTATCAAAAATCATAATTATTATACTTTTAGTTATTGTAGTTTTATTCTGTTGCATGATTAGTTGTTTTAGCTAACATGTGAAATACCATTTTTACTAAACCTGAAAAAATTTGACACGGCATGACAAGTCGACACGAGCCCCATACGAAATTAGCAGGTCTGGGTAAAATATTTCAACACATTTAAGTAACGGGTTTAAATAAACGAGGTGACACGACACGATACGATAACTAAACGTGTAGGGTTAGGGCAAAGACTTTTAACTCGAAGACAACTTGAGTATGCCCTTTTAAATATATATAATTTTTTATAAATTTCATATTTTTATAAATTTATTATATATTATAAACTTGTAGTGGGCCAAACTAAATAATTCAAATTCAAATTCAAACTTTCAAAGTGACTTAATTTTACTTATTCTCACGACCTACCCCCTTTACTTCCCAACACTAACTCTTTTCATTTTGTCTTCTAAACTTGCTATGTATTTTTTTCATTCCACCTCCCAACTTTAATGTTTTACATTTTCCTTTTCGCCTCACCGTCTCCTACTTTCCAACCTTTAAAATGTTTTAACCCAGCATGACACAACATATTTACAAGGTCTTAACTGTAACACCCAGCCAATCAGGTATTTTCCTTCTTGCCTCAAAATATTTAAGTTTTGCAAAAATGGTCCTTACGCCATGCGTACCTAGGGTGTACTGCAACATCCGTAATCTTGGATTAATCGAATTAGGGTTTCATGAGGCTAAAGATTGGATTTTTGGAGAAAAATAGGTCCTCACGACGTGAGGCATGGATGCTCACGACGTGAGGAGGGCCGCGTGAAGATTTCATCCGCGACTAGGCTCACGACGTTAGCAATAAGATCTCACGACATGAGGATCGTTGTAGCCCAAGCCCACAAAATTTTAGGATTTCCCACGTATTTAAGCCCCCTTAATTCAGTTTTAGGGTTCATTTCTCAGCCTCCACCTTCCCTAACTCAGAAAACCCTAACCCTAACCCATTTGGTTGTATTGGATTCATTTTTTGGTGATTTGGTGGCTAGAAGAATAAGAAGAAGAGGTCCTAGAGTGTTAGTTCAGCAGGAGGCTTCATCATCATCATCTTGTGCATATTTTGGACCATTGTAAGTGTTAAAGATCAAATCTTTATGGGTTAAAATTGCTAGATCTAAGTTCTAAGCTTTTTTTTTGCATGTTCATGTTGGATTTCATGCTTGGAATCCATAAAGTTGCCAGGATCAATGGGTAATTCTCTATGATTTGGTCGTTTGGATCTGAAGTATGGTTATAAATTATGAATTTTGGTTTGAGTTGGGGGCCATTTCTTGTCATTTTGACCTAAGATGGGTTTAGGACATGCATAGGGGATGCATGTCCATCAAGTAATCATTTTTATTGGCCATTGGAGTCCTTTATATAAGCCATCCTTAGGGTAGAATTTCATAAAAGCCTTCCTTCTAAGTGCCTTGGACGAAATCTTGGCCCCCTCCCTCTCTCTCTATAGTTTTCCTTGGTTGTTAGGGTTTGTTTGTGAACCATTAGAGGCGCGACACTTGTGGCGCTTGCTACCAAAGGTTTTCAAGGAGGAATTTAAGATTGTTTACTACAACAATCTTAAAGGTTAGTTTTTCTTGTTCTTATAAGTTAATTAGATCATAGAAAAGTTTCATAACCTAGGGTTCATAGTATGTTGCTTTTCTTGAAAGACAAGATCCAATTAGGTTGCATGTGCCCTAATTTATTTGAATTGTTTGAATAGTTTTCCGCTTAGTGCATTATGTTGTAACCCCTAAAACCCATCAGTGGTATCAGAGCCATGGGTTGTCTTTCATTGATTTGCACATTGGTGAATCGATTTTAGAAATCAAAGAAACATGTTTTTTTTTTCGCAATTGTCGCAGCTCACGTCGTGAGCATAGGCCTGATCCGGGATTTAGTGTTTTTTTCCTGCCTAATTTGCTTTTATTTGATGATTTGTTGCTATAATTATCCTCCAAGTCCAGTTTTGGTGTATCTTGCATGACAAGTTAAAAGCCTAGAAGTTAGAAGATAATTATTTGGCTTGATTGATTATTTGGTGATTAATATAATTGATTTTTTAAGTGTTTAAATAATTAATTTCATTATTAATTGAACTTAATAATTAATGTCAAATATTATTGGGTTGTTTTAGATTTAAATTAAAAGGTTAATTTTTGAAATTTAAAATGTAAACCTTAAAATATATCCATATGGATGTTATTAATAATTTAATTAAAAGATTAATTAAAGGATAATTAATAAGTCCATATATGGTTTAAATTTAATTAAACTAAATGTTTAATTTATTAAAAGATTAAACACTTGATATTTTAAAATGTTTAAAATTTACCTTGTACTATATATATATATATATATATATATATATATATATATAATTAAGAGTTTAATATATATTATACGTATAAATAAAGTCAGTCGAATCGCTACTACGCCTCATTCACGAAGCCATGCTATAATGAGAGTTTAAGGAAGCGTCCTATAAAATGACCGTCATTTGGTATCCATTCTTACCCACCGCTCTCTTGTATGGTGGAGGGTCGTTAGTCGAACGATTCTGATAGGACAAATTAAATCTCATTAATAAGTATAATGCGATATAACGTAACTAAATCTTAGTTACTTTAGGAAAAATGTGAATTTTGATGCTAATCCATGAAATTGCACATTGCACCTTATTGGTCGTTAGTGGAGCGCGTGTGGTTAACCGGCACACTAATATGAGACTAATATTGTTGGAAATGGGTG